AAATGAATTGAAAAGCAGCAACTTCTAAACATGAAAGCTGCCTAAGAGTTTAAAAACTACAGGAGACTTTTCAATTGCTCATATGGCATCTTATCCCTATCTTAAACATCTATTCATGTTGCGTATGCCATGTGGTGCTAACTTATACAACTAATACTCAGATGACCTAATTTTCTCGTAATGATGGTATAATACCAGTTAACTTTTTAAAAGTTAGCTGTGTAACACTGCAACCAAACTTTCAGTATTTTTTACATGACAGAAGAGACTTTTACTATATTAATATATTTTGGATTAATCGGTGTTGACAATATAGCTGTAGAGTAACAAAGTCAACCAAAGTTAAAACAATCAGAATATATTCTATAAATCATTTGCTTAGTCAGGCTGTAGTCCAACTATTTCAAAGCCTATATCTTTATTTATAGTAGTGTGATTGATATGAAAATAAAAGCAGTTAAAACAAACATTAAAATTTTTAAATTTAAATCAAATAGTGATGATTATTTCTAATTATATTTAAGAAAAACAAAATTACAACATTAATAAACAGGATACTTGTTTTCAAAAATATTTGAAAAAGTCAGTGCTTATTCAGCCATACTTTCTGCATTTTCACTTATTTTAAACATCAACAGTACAAAAATGTCTTTCTCACAGGGACTGTAATTTCTAAACACTGAAAAATTGATTCTGTAACAGCTTTACCTTGTAGGATAAGAGCTAAACCATGCTAACTGATTGAAAAAAAACCTATGAATATTGTTATAATGTCTAGAAAGTGTGAAAATATACAATGGCAACATTTGATTGATATTCATATTTTGCAATGTTACATTAGAAATAATCATTTATTTAGTTGAGGCCTTAACTGTACTAGTAGAAATACCCACCCTCCATTCATGTATAACTGCTAGTTCCTGCAGAAGGCTATTAGGCCTGTGGCCTTTTCTAGAATTTTCTGACAGTTCTACAACAATGTACTTATACTTGACATTCAATAATGTTCACTATCCATGAAAAAGAGGATTTTATTGAAATTTTAATTAAAAAATGAGCTATCATCACAGCATTACATCACAGAGTAGATTTTATTGAAGACTTTTTGTATTGTAGATGCAGTTATCAGTGAAAGTGCCTAGCTTTTCTGTTGCAACACTCATGAGATCTTCACTAAAGAAAAAAATAATAATTTTTTTAAGTATGTTTTGTTATTGTTTTATATTTGAAACTTACTCATTTTTTTATATTTTTTATTGGTTAAATCTGAAGCTTACTCATTTTTGTTTGTAATTTTTATTGGTTAAATCTTAAACTTTTGTTTTTGTGGAATCTTCAATTGTTTTTATTTATTGTTCAGCTATAAAAATACCATCTAGTTTTAAAAATATTACCCAGTTATCATTGGTGATGATCGGTGCAGTAGTTTCCGAGACCAGAGTTTTGGATGTATACATTGCAAGCTCCATTATAATAAGATTGCTGAAGGCTATTTGTGTTGATTGCACAAAGAACCTCAAAAATACTTTTATAGTAATTACTAGCACAATTGAATAAAAACACTGACACCTAATGTTTCTTTTTGATACTACATGGTATTGTAAGAATCTCTGGCAGTTTTTTCTATATTAGTTTCTTTAAAACAATGATGGGATTTGAACCTTCTAGATTTGTATGTGTGTATACAGTTACTTATGCCTTAAAAATAATTGTGTAGGAGTCTGGCCCTTTGTAGAACTTCACTAGATCTTTACATGCTTATACAACATTAAAGAATATATTTAAACAATTAGAAATTAGAAATCATAACACATTGTAAAAACAATAAATTTTCATATTATTTAACATTTAAGTATTTAGCATTGGCAGTTGGTGTTCCAAGCCAGTTGCCTTTCTTCTAATCAGTAATTCAAAACTAGTGATAATGGCAGATAGTGTTAGTAGCTTTGAAATAACAAAGCCAGAGCAAGCAAGTATAGTAGGAATGGGAATCAAATCCAAGGCCCTCAACCCCCTTCCCATTATTTTACTTTATGCTAAATAATAAACAAACATAATAACAATATTTTGATTACTTGGATAGTTAGTTGAGATGGAGTCATTAAAATGAGTAATAGCCTTTATTTGGATTATTTTATCATTTTTGTGACAGTTTAATTGTAATTTTGATAAATTGATTGCTGGAGTAATTGAAAACTAATAAATGGAAACATTAATTTTGATTAATTGATCAGTTTACCTGACATTATTTGGTGTAATCACTTCTCATAGGTAATCAATTAACTTGCCCAGCTCTATCATGGAAGCCATCAATCCCTTTTGTCATCAGTATTTAGAGATCTCTTTTGTGCCTTTTGTCTTCAGTAGCCTTGAGTTCTTAGGCATTGTTCTTAATGAGACTTGGGTTTGGTATTACTTTTCTTGGCTTCTTCACCTTTTAAATCCGTAATGAATTGTTTGCTCTATCATCAAAATTGACATTTGATGATGTCTTCAGCATCCTGGTTCTAGTACATTTTAGAGGGTATTTTGCTGACCAGCATGTGGATGAATCTTAACATGTTTTGAAACTTTTATTTGCAATGCATTTCTGTCTCTTCATTTTTGGGATTCTTTTCTTCTTCTGGTTGTTTATGGCAAGAGAGCAATCTAACAAGGAAAGACTTCTCATATTAAAAGAGATAAATACCTGTTTGAATTTATTTTTAATTCTGAAAGTATAGAATTTCATGGGATCTTTATTACTAATACAGTTATATATGATTATATATATGGCTGATATAATTATTAGAGCTCTTTTAGAAAAGTGAGCTATTAATTGGTAGATTTAACACCAAGCATTTGTGCAGTGCTAATCTCTTCATGTAACTCAACTCCCTCTTACCTTCCCATTTTCAAAGCTGTTGACTTGGATGAAGCATCTTTGTTTTTGCTTCCAAAAAGTTATGGTGTTGTGTAGTAACTACTAAATTACCTCCGATCAATCCCTTGATATATCAGTGTGGCACTCTTACACTGTATGCAACATATGTACATTTACAGTTAGTACTATATAACTTCATAGAATGTAATATTTGGCAAGTGGAAATTATTAATATTTTTTGTTGAGAATATGGGTATCTCAGATTGGGTTTTGATGCAAGGGTTTAGTGAAAATGCATGAAATATATAAATTTTTAACAACCCCAGTAATTATAAATACAATATTTCATAAAAGTATTCATAAAAACTTCTATTGTTATTATACTACTTAAATTCACAATTTGTAGATTTGTTTCTATAATCTTGCAAAACCTCAAAAAATGAATGATTTGTGTTGTTTTATTTGGAAGAACAACAGGATATAAAAAAAGTGTGTAATCATTTTAATCTGAGATATTATGACCCTCAAAAGTAATTAATGTATTTTTCAGCGTATAAGACGCACATTTTTACCCCAATATTTTATGTCAAACCTGCTTGCGTCCTA